CAAGCCCCAGCTGAACCTGTTTGACACTTAGCATGTAGTGTTTCACCATCTGACACTTTTGAACTTTGCTCAAAGGATAACACACTGGTAGATTCCTTTGGAGCAACAAGCTCAGTTTGGCTGCAGGCTTCCTCAGTCCCTCTTTTCCAAGATGACCTTTTGGTGGTGGGCTTGAATTGAAGAGGTGGTTCCATGACAGCGGGAAGTCCCCCCCCTTTTGTTTGGGGATGTATAATCTGCCAATGGCTAAAATGCTGCCCCTGAGCTCAGACATCTCGAGATAAGGTTACGGTTCTACGAGCGTTAGCCTCTTTGGAGAATGGTGATTCACCCCAAGTATGGTTATCTGTCCTAAAAGGCCAGTAGGTTTGTTCCTTGCATAGCCTTTGCACTCTCAGGGAGAAATTCTCCATTGCACTGAGGAAGGTATGCATTTTTACTCTGAGTACTGCCTTTGCACCTCCCAGGAGTTTATTCCATTGCACGGGAGAAGGAGTATCAGGAGTTTTAGGCCTCCTTTGATCGGTCCTTGCATCATGAGGTGAGGACCTGAACAGGAGTAAGACCTTCTCACTGGCCTACAGAGAAAAACAGAAAGGGGGAACTGCTGGAAGCCGATTTGAGTGGCTGCCATTACAAGATGGCATTTGGCCCCGGCCTCGCTTGATAAATATCTCCATATTAAGGTTGCAGTTCTTCCACCAGAAAACAGGGTGAGTTGTTGTGATCTAGCTGCCCACACTCCCCCTGACTGGCAGGGGAACTTCCTTGTGGTCTGTAACTGATAAGGATGTTTGTTTTCTTTCCGGCTGGGGGGAGGGGTGTCTCCAGAAAAGCAGTTAAAGTATCAAAGTATCAAAGGTTGCTAGGCAGACTCCCTATATAAGCAGCTGCAGCTCAGAGCTCGGGGCCCCTTGCTCCCTTGCTTTCTACTCTCCCTATAACCAAGATGCTCCAATAAAGTGTGATTTGGGAAGAATCCTCGTCTGGTGGCTGTTCCTTCCTGCTGGTCAGGGAGTTTGCCACAGTTACTTATAAAATATACCCATTGTTGTAATGAACTAACCAAATGAAATTTTAAAGAAAAATAATTACTGTATATTTCCAATAAAATATTTTAAGAAAAAAGAAGCTAATACTATTAGTAGTATTTACCCTTTTACATTGTTGATATAAAGTAAAGCTTGTATGCTCATTCTAGAAAACACTTTGAAAATGTTGGTAATAAATATGTGTGTCATGTGAGGTAACTACTGAAGCTCTGGAATAGTTTTGTTAACACAAAATGGAATGATATTGTAATATTTACTGAAAGACTACTGTCAATTTGTGAACTGTAGGAACATCCCAATAACATTCAACAAGTGAATAAACTGAGATATGTGAGATATATGGAAATGAATTTAATATTGTTAGCACAGGAAAAT